TAAGGAACTGATGCTTAAAATATGCAAGAACTTTCACATTAAATTCCAAAAAAATCGAGTTTCAAAAATTCCAATCAAAATTAAATCACAAAGCTTATCTAAACAGAAACAACTCAAATCAGTAAACAAGGTATCAAAACTTTTGCGATCGACTACCTCCGCTTTATCTACAGCAGTGTTGCAAATGTAGATGTCTACACTAGATGAAGAATGTAGATTCTCCAATAGTTTTTGTCTAGCTAAGAAACTTTCTTCATAAAGATTGATTCTACATGAAGATAGAAAATCTAATCTACACAAAGATTATTTCTACATAAAGAATCTGTCTACATAAAGATTCGATGTAGATGTCTACAATTCTACATTTTTTCCAGGTCTTCATCAGAGAAGAATGTAGAATTGTAGACATCTACATCGAATCTTTATGTAGACAGATTCTTTATGTAGAAATAATCTTTGTGTAGATTAGATTTTCTATCTTCATGTAGAATCGATCTTTATGAAGAAATTTCTGTCTCAGAATTTATCTGATCCAGACAAATAGCCAGAATGCAACACTGATCTACAATATCTCTAAAGTTCTAATAAATCAAAGCTCTATGATGCATAGTAATGATATAAACTTTTTACAGCGTACTTCAAACGGAATTTTAAGAGATTCAATAGCACGCCAATAATTCTAAGTACGCTGAACTTCTTAAGGAGTTCTTCTTATCTCCTATAAAATTTAGTATTATTCTAAGATAAGATAAAAAAGATTTAATCAAAGCAATTTAATCGAAAGATTTTTTTCCTTTTTTATCTCCAATATCAAATAAATTTTGAATGAAGGCACGAAAGCAGCTAAGAAAAACAGAATAAATTTAAATGAAGGATTTTTAGGGAGGAAAATTGATTTCACTTTAATTATGCTAATAAATATTGCTTGTCTCTCTCACCAATATTCTCTTTCTTATTCCACTTAGGGGTTGGTTGGAAATGACGTCTATTAATAAATTGGGATTTTTTGATGCTAGTTCTGCATCTGAGTAGAAATTTTAGTCTGTTAAGAGTGTTTAATAGCTTCATCGTTTGATTTCTTAAGTAAACCTTAGACCATACGTCTTTGGTTGGTTACTAAAGTGCACCTCAGTCATATATTGAAGTTTAGATGAGGTTAATTCTAGAGTAAATTCAGAAAATTAACCCCAGATTAGCGGCATAGCCAATGAAAAACTTTAACAATACGCTATGGTTTTTTGAGAATTAATACCGAAAACACCCCCCCCCCCCAAAAAAATTAAGCACTCCCTCAAAAAATTCTGGCTACGCACCTGTCTCAGAGAGAGAACAACATAAATGTACCATAAGCAACTGACCCCAAACTCCATTTACGATGCCAAGAAAAAGAACAAAACTTACAAACATCCCCTCCCCCACCCCACCCCCTCTACAAAAGCCTTATTCGATATTCAAAACTGAATGTTTGCTACACAAATTTTGTGTTGGATATAGCATATAAATAAATATCTCAACAAGAAATAAATTTTCAAAAGGCATAACATGAAAGGAAATGGTGGGAGTGGATGAGAGATGTTATAGAGTGTATGAGTGAGTGAAACATGAGCATATAACAAAATTTTATTGCTTTTCATTTTTCATCATCATCATGCTGTTGGCCTCTTTAAGATTCCTTCCTTTATTTTGTAATCATTTATGAGTTTTGAAGTTGGGGGGAGAGGAGGGGGGACCAAGGTTGCGGTACTGATTAAATGATCAAAAATGATCAGGGAAGGGGGAAGGGGGGATAGAAGGGGGTAATCATGTGACATAATCATTGATATTTTGTTGCTAATTGAATGAAGTTTGTTTTCATTTGGCCAAAAAAGACTTCAAAATCAGGATCGAGTTTCTTGCAGGTTTTTGCTGCAATTGTCTTAGCAAAGGTCATTGTTTGATGCACGAAGCTTAGAATCAACTTAAAGAACCGTTGATTTACCACAGGAACAAAAGCCTATAGAACAATATCCGAAAATTCCCAATCTGATCCAATTTACCTCAAAAAAAGCTGCACAAAAAAATTGCCGACATGAACGATGCAACAAAAAAATAATAAAAATTCAGCTTTGGCATGTCGATGGATGATAGATTGTATCTTATTTTATTACGTTTTAGAGAGCAAATTGACATCACACACTCGTAGAAGACGAGCACGATGAGATTTAAAAATTATAAATTTTTTTTAGTGCCAACACATGTTAAAATGGACATATCCCAACATGTGTAAACATGCATGTGCCTCGTTTAGAGATGAGAAAAAAAAGATGATTTTTATGTCCAACGATAGCAGTATTTAATACATATTATGCTCTATGGAGGACGAGGAGGAAAAGGTTAGATGATAGTAGAATAAATTTATAGAGTCGAATGCCATAAAAATCGATGCCGCATCCTTTTATGCTTAGTCATTGGCAATAGCTCCGATCGAGCATACATTATGGAGAGTTTAAAATTTATTTTTTTATTATTTACCATGTTGCTGCTTTTGCTCGCATCTCCATGAATAATAAAAAGCATTCAATTCTCTGTATTTTTTTTTTTGAATGCACATAAACTTATAAAGGATGTCGAATATCGAACGAGAGAATTTTTATTCATGTGAGATAAGCAGAATAAGGCACAATGTTATGATTTTAGCTGCATTTTTTTGAATTATGCTGATGCTGCTGTTACCATTTAATAAGATTGAATGTTTCTTTGGGGGCTGTTCACTTAGGATGTCCTAGATTCAGATGGGGCTGAGAACTTGAGCTGCATAACTGATGTAAGGCTGTAGAGCTCAATATAGGGAAGGAACTCAAAGGCACTATAGCAAAGAAGAGACTCAAAGTCATCGACTCACATCTACATACTTTTTTCTGTTAGAAGCACAAAGTCACTGTTGCTATGGAATTTTCATCTTTTTAATGCTTTCATTTCTACACAAAAAGCTCCGTTTTGTGTGAGCTTGACAAAAAAACAAAATTTTTTTTTCTAGGAATTCTTCAGATGTACATTCAAAGAGAAGCATAAGCAGCTTTTTTTTGGAAGAAGCACTGAAAGTCAGTTTTTTTTAACAAAAGCACAAACACAGAGAGGAATGAAAAATGGAATTTCCTGTTAAAATTGTTTGCTATCAAAGCAGTAGCTTTAAAATGCTTCTTTCCTCAATTTTCATTCAAGTGAAAGGAAAAGACTCTGAGTTGTTTTTTAATGGGGATCGATTGTAAATTATGTCTGGAAGAAAATTGTGTTTTCTGGACGTAATCAATGAGGCTCCAACCAACCCCCCCAGCTCCGCCTCCCAAACTCCCAATCAAAAACTTTTCAGGACATATTTGCTAAAGTCTCACAGAAATGCAAGTGTATTCCCAAAACAGTTGACATCAATTACGAACGACCCAATTCTGAGATTTGTCTTCTCTGACTTTCTGTTCCCAGGCAAACGGAACAGTCAATTGGAGCATGAAAATTGTTGCATTTATCATCGTTTGGCTTCGGTTCTGATGAAACAACAAGCAATATCGTTATTTGCTGATAAGAGAATTATAAATTAGAAATAATGTCAGTGGAAATGAAAAACTTGAATTCAGAACAAATGAATTGATTTCTTTTTATATAAAATAAGTTGCGATTTAACAGTTCAGTAAATTAAAATAAGTTGATTCTTCTTATTTTGGATTTGACGGCTGCCTTTTTGATTGTTTCCTGGATATTTGAGAATTCTTAAGGAAACAAGTCCTTTCTGTACAAAGGTTTGATTCGATTATTTTCATTCTTGGACTCAAATGGCATTCTTGATCTTTTAGATACTCAAAAAAATCAACCTGATTAGATTGAACAAAATGTTCTTCTTTGCCTTACAATTTTCTTTTTATTAAATTTACCTGCTTCAAAGAACAAGAAAGACTCTCATCTGTACGGTATTAAAGGTAAGCACAAAGGTAAGTTCATTTAGTAAATCTTTTCAATCATTCAGAGAAGATAGGCTTTAGGAACCAAAGAGATTTTCTAGTTTTGATATTGAGATGAAAAATTGAAAAATGTTTTCGGTCAATTAATATTTTATGTGCACAATCTTGTTCCAATTCTTAAGCAGATGCTGTATTTGGTCTTTCTATAGATAATGGATGCAAATTAGCTTATTATTAAAGATAAAGAGATTTTAATTTAAGAATGAGAGTTTTAGAGCCATACCTTTATCAATAGCAATGTATATGGGGTTCGGCCTTTTGAGCTTAAGACACCTCGATTAAATCAGAATGAATTCTTTTAATCATAATTAAAGCACACTATTTACACTCACAGTTTATAGTGCAATCCAAGCTACTGACAAGGTTTCTATTTTGAAAAGACGCGAGTATGTCTTAAGATCTTTTGAAATCATTTAGTCGCTAGTTTATCCTTGTAAACCTAGTAAAGAAGACATTGCGTGCCAAAGACTTCAAAACTATAACCCAACACTCGAACCGAGTTTCGTAACCAGAACGATGAAGGATTAACAAGCTTATAGCTGTGCTTAATCTAAGATTGAATCCGTAACCTTTAGCTCGTAAGACTAACTCTATCACTAAGCTATTGATGCCATTTCACAGATTTTACCTTATAATTCATCATTGTGAACAATGTAAAAAGCTTTATAAGCAATAAAGCTGTTTAGTTAAAACTTATACACCTTCACAAACTGTATTTTTAGCGAAAAAAATATGAAACTCTTTAAGCCGATCCCCTTCTCTAGATGCGCCTCTCAATCTCAAATATCTCAACCTCACAAACCACTCAAAATAACAACACAGCTTATCATATTAAGAACCTCTTCATTTATCATCAATTCATTTCAAGTGCATAATCGTCAGTCTAACTCTTAAGATTAGCATTCTATTATTATTATCACAGTCTAGTCTATTATTAAGCTACGTGCAATTGATAAGATAAACCACATAAGAATTATTTCAAAATTAATCCAATTTATTAGTTCAATTCAGCAATCCATTCAATAATGAAGGAAAATCTTAAAGCTGCAGTATTTCTTCTGTCAATAACCATAGCAATATCCAATCCAGTTTCACCACCCACAAAGTTTGAAAGCTTTCAACTGCCAGATGAGTTGGAGAAACAAGTTGAATTCAAATTTATTGATGGCAAAATCATAACAGACATTTCTTTGAAATCTGATGATAGCATCACTTATCGTCTGCCGAACAATACGCTCCCTGTGCGATATGACCTTTGGGTGAAGACTGATGTCGAGAAAGAGAATTTCAATTTTGAAGGACATGTAAAGATTCAAGTTCGTGCGATTGAACAGACAGATTATGTAACATTGCAGTATCGAGACATTGTGATAGACCAAATTGATTTATTTGACGAGAATGAATTGAAAATAGGCGAGAACTTAACATTTGAGTACCTCGAGCCATTGAGTCATGAGTTTTTGAAAATTCACCTCGGAAGTTCTGTAAACATAGATGCTCGATTCACACTCGACATCATTTATCACGGTGAATTGCATGAACCAAGCAATAATGGATTTTACAAAGCATATTACATCACAGCTAATAACGAGACAATATGGTATGCAACAACTAAATTTGAACCGCATCATGCACGTCATTTAATGCCATGTTATGATGAACCAGCAATTCGTGCAGCAATTGGATTACAAGTTCAACATGATAAGAGTTATAACACATATGCTAATATGCCACTCAAAAATCGCTATGTGGTTAATGGAAGTGATTATGTCATTTCTGAATTTGAGGACACACCGCCAATGCAAACTTATTTACTTGCATTTCTCGTGTCTGCTTTTAAATATGTTTCGAATAATGCCACAGTCGTTGAACAACGAATATTCGCTAAGCCACAGTCAATTGATGACGGTGAGGGTGACTATGCCGCAAGCATCTCAGATGGAATATTGAAAAAGTTTGAAGAATTACTTGATGTAAAATATCCATTACCGAAACTGGATCATGCTGCTATTACGCAATTTCCAAGTGGTGCTATGGAGAATTTTGGATTTATAAGCTATCAAGAGGTTGCATTGTTGCTGAAAAAAAATTATACGCCTGCACAAAATCTGACTTATACGAAGTATATTGCGAGGGTTGTTGCTCATGAGGTTTGTTTGTAAATTTATTTAATTTTGTGGGTGTTTAAGCCTACGAGAGCATCATAACGTTGTCAATCTCTTGACAGTATTTTTCATTATGTGCTGTTCGGTTTGGATTTCATTTTTTATTACATTATTTTGGTTTATCTCAAGCTTAAATCAGGTCAATATAGAATTGTACAAAAGCTTTGAAGTGTAAATTTGGTACAATGCCCAAAATCAATTGCTCACAAGTCCATTAAAGCTTTTATAGAAGTACAAAATTGCATTAAGACTTAATGTTGCTCTAATTTTCATAAATCAATGACATAGTATTGGGAAGGAATGATTAAATTCACCCATTTAACTTACAATTGCTATTTTTTGAAGATCTGGATATTTCATTGACACAAATGTCACAAAAATAAGACATACATCACATCTCATTACACCTGCAACTTTTCCCATAAAATTTAAATATTTATACATCATTAAATGATCCCGGCCACAAATTAATTAAGCAATTTCCATTTATAAAGGTAGCTCATCAGTGGTTTGGTAACACTGTAGCCCCGGAATGGTAATAAAATATTCTATCAAATATTACTGAAGATAAAGTCTAATTCTCGACCGTTATCAAATTACAGGTGGACACATTTGTGGCTAAATGAAGGTTTCGCAACGCTCTATGAATATCTCATACCACATCTACTCTACCCAAACCTAAACTTCAGAGAAGACTTTCGTACTGCATGTCTTCAAGCTTCGTTACGAAATGATTTGACGTCAAATGCAGCTTCCGTTCCAATGTCTCATTATGTTGAAGATCCTACAGCTATTCGTGGACGATTCAATTTTATATCATATCAAAAAGCAGGCACAGTGCTTATGATGTTCTTAGAAGCCCTTGGGACAGACATTTTCCATCATGGACTTACAAAGTATTTGACAAATAATTATTATGGAATCGGAAATCCAAATAAACTGTTTACTTCTCTTCAATCATCTTTTGGTGACGAAAATCAATTGAATATTGCTACCGCAATGAGCAGTTGGACGACACAAGCAGGTTTTCCAATTTTACGTGTCGAACGGAGTGGAAATAAATTGAAATTCAGCCAACAGCGATATCCAACAGGAAATGGTGAAATTTATGCAATTCCTCTTACATTTGCGACAAAATCAAATGCAAAATTTGATGATAAAACAGCAGGTTATTGGATTAAAGCAAAGGAAGAGGAAGTCGACGTCAATGTATTTGGTTTAAATGGAACAGATTGGATCATTTTCAATAACCAACAAGTCGGTTATTACCGAATTGACTACAGTGATGATTTATGGCTTGCTATCGCAGATGGATTACGTCATGATGTCAAAAAAATTCATTTGATTAATCGTAGAATTTTGCAAGAAGAATTAAATATTGGAATGACAGTCAGCAAGAGCATATCAGCAGCTACAATGTTGGAAATGCTAAATACACTCGAGAATGAGGAAAGCTATTTAGTTTGGAATGACGCAAATAATAATTTCCAATTCCTAAATCGAACACTAATGAACACAGTTGTGTATGAAAATTACATGAAATTTCTACGATTAATTACAAAGCCAATAATCGATGAGATTGGATATGAGGCAACAGATTCAGAGCTGTTAGAAATTACACAGCTTCGATTGCGTGCCAAGACAATAAATTGTTATGCATTTGACGATAATTGCATGCAGCATGAACACACAAAATTAATTAAATATCATGAAAATGAGAATGAAAATCCAGCACCAGATTTCTGTTCAGGTTTCCGCCTTGCCGGACAGGATATTTACGATTACTATCTTCATGAATTAATCACGAACACGAGTCTTAAAAATCGAAATTTAATTGCACGAACAATTCATTGCACAATGAATAAAGATTATCTCGGCGTTCTCATTGCAGCCATTGAGGATGATAAAAATATTTTAACCGCATACGAACGCGGTAACATCACAAATTTCCTCCTCACGTCAAGCCCAATTAGTTTTAATGTTGCATTTGATTATATTCGAAGGAATGTCGAGAAAATTATTCCATTTAAATCACAAATTATTGCAGCAATTAACACACAAGAGAAATTCGATGAGCTCAAATTACTACTCACTGAGGCGCTTAATGACAAAATCTTGACGCAAGCACAAGTTGATGAGATTAAAGCTGCAATTGATGACAATTTGAAATGGCAAGAGAAACATTTGGGTGGCATTATGGATTTTTTCGGATTAGATGAAGAGACTACATTGACAGCTAATGGAGTATTTGTGTCATTTTATCTTATCATTTCGACATTTGTTGTTATCAGCTGCTTTAGATAGGGATTTTAAGTGGATGATGATTGTGTTAAGAATGGTCAGGAACTCTGATTTAAGAGTTTGAGACTTAATTATTATTTGTAATAAAATAAGATTTACAACCTTTAGTTTAATTAATTAAATGGATTAAATCCTCATTTATTAAATTCTTCTTGATTAGATATGAATGATTTATTTGAGTATTTTAATCAAGCATTTGATAAAGTAAGTTGATGTTTTGCTTTTTTAGGTTGCACTTTGGATGAACAAACAATTTCATTAATTCTTAACTCTTTAACTTTGTTTTTCTTTGTTTTCTTATAGGCCGTCCATTTATGACGTCCAGGGGGGGGGGGGGGGTCAACCAAGAAAAGAACAATAGAAATTCCTGGAAATCCATTATTTTTTTTGAAAGCTGTCCGGTTAATTTCGGTCTTCATAAATGAACGAATATTAAAATCTCAACTTAAGGACCAAATAAAATAAATAAGCAACTCAGGACAATTAAAATCAGATTTCAATTAAATATGTTAAATATTTGGAGTCAACATAATCAACAATCTAAACTAAAATTATCAAAACATAAAATCCATTTGAAATTCAAAAACTATCCAATTAATTTATGAAAATAATAGATTTAAAAAATAATGACATGATTATTATAATAATTATGGTAACCACCAAAATATTCATATGTGATATTTTATTTATTAGAACAACATACAACCGTTGTTTGCAGTGGGCGGACATTTTTGTGTTTTTTGAAGCACTGACATTGTTAAATCATGTAGGGAAGTTTAATAAGCGCGTGGCAAGCGATTTTCATATTTATTTCAAGACTTTTTATAACATTTTAGAAAAAAGATTCATATTTTCACAAACATATGCTGTGGAAAAGAAAGAACTGAAATGTGATGAAAAAGTGTTATTAAATAGCAGCGGGGGTCGTTCACTTATTACGTTCTAAATTGAAAGTCGACTAGGAATTTGAATATTAATTTAATTTGAAAAATTTAAAATCATCCGAACACACACATTGAAATGTTTGCCAACCGGAGTTCGGGTTGATAGGATAATTAGAATTGAAAGCTTTCCAACCGAATGCTAAGTGGTTGCCGCTTGGTTCTAATTACACTATTAACTTGTCCTTCGGTGGCAAACATTTTAATGAATTTCAATACGTACCGATCAGGTTAGTGGGGGCTCTTAAGGGTATGAATCGAAAGAAGCAGCTTAAAAAATTAATTTTTGTGTTCCATAACAAATGAACAACCCCCAAGAATGTTTTTTTTTCTTCATGAAACTTTCTTCCTGTGTTACAATTTTAAAATCTTTCATTTCCAGAAAACTGTTTCTCTGTTTCTTTGTTCATAAACATCACTTGACTGTGGCGTATTTTTAATTACTCTTTTTTTTTGCAGTGTTTTCAGGAAAATTGCTCATTTTGTAGAATGAAAATGAGTCTCTGGTTTTGAGAGTTGAGTTAAAGTATTAAAGCTTTACAGTTTGTGAACTTTAATGCTCATTTTATTTGAAATGTGAGACAACTTTTAAATTTTATTATATTATGCTTCTTCAGGGGGTTCCAGAGGATCCAGAACTTATCATAACATGAGTTTACATCAGTGTTGGTCCAAAAAGGATCCAGAACTCATCCAGAACATGATTTTACATCAGTGTTGGTCAGATCTTCAAACAATTTTCAAATAAAGACACCCCTTAAAAGCATAAGTCGGTTAATCGAATAGAAATTCAGTGCCAAGATGGCATGATGCTAGCTTAGATTTTAATCCACAACCATGTCAGAATCACATTGGCTTGGTGCCCTGCTTGGTGCCAGATTTCTAATAGATTAACCGATTTATGACATTTGGGACCCTTCATCAAGCTAGAGATTCAATCCATCAATCTCTAATCCCTTGCATACTTTCACTAATTGCAATCACAAATTAGCATTCGTAACACGATGTTGATTGAAAATTAAATACGTCACCAAAATTACGACACAACTTTTTGTTTCATAATCAAATAATTACAAATATTTTGACTAATAAAATTAAACATTTGTTTCATTCACATTTGAATTAGAAATTAATATTATGCTTTCAGTCTCGCAAAAATATGAAAATGCATAAACAACAAATATCATAATGATGTGGTCATTTCAAAAATCAGAACAAAAAAAAATAATAATATTCATCATAAAAAATTATTGTTGCGGTTGAAGGTTTGCAATTAAGCTTAATTTTAATTATTTACACCAGCAAAAAAATATGATGAATGAATATAATATCGTGGCACAATAATAATTAAAAGTTTCATATTTTGCATATTAAATCTACAATTTTGAAATTAAGTAATTAAGCCATTTATCACATTATAAATTCATAATTATTCGTGTTCGTAATATATAAAGTATTCGATTAATAATAAAACTGTTAATGTTTAACGTGCAAAAAAGTAATTAAAATTGAATTAATTAATGTAAGAAATTCTCCGTATTAGCATCTCAATATAATTGAGTTGTCACTGACAGCACCAAAGCTATTTTCTTATTTTTTGTACTGCCTTAAATTGCGTAATCAATTAAGATTTCCATTCATTCATGAAAATAATTATGCGTATTAATTAATTATATTGAATATTTTTGTCATTGAAAAGCTAATCTTAACTGAAAGCTCAGTTATTGATCCATAATTCGGTGTGTGTTTATTTTGTTTGCGGATGCTAGCTTTAATTTATTGATTTATTGTTCCTGATATTAAAGCAAATCTTGGTTTTCTATAATGTTGCTGATTGAACGTAGCTTAAGGATCAATTACTTATGATGTCCGTCAGAAAACATGATTTTTAGACCCCCTTTTACCCCCCCCCCCCCCTCTGCCACAAAATTTATATGGAAAAAAATTTGATTAGTTTGAATTGTCACAAAATCTTTGACTCCTATCCCCGCTCCATGCCCGAAGTGACCGTAGTTAAAAGTTTGTTAAGGAGTCAAGTCCCATCTACATCCGTGTTTTTATTGGAAATTCTGAAGAGGCTTCTAATATTGACTCTTAAAACTAAACCCACCTTACACAGTTTTTACACAAAAGGTTTACAAATAAAGGATTTGAACGCACAATTTCGTAAGGTTTGAAACTCAATTACCGGTCAAGAACTTTATCCAAATCGGTTATCTAGCTCCTGGTTATTATAAATTTAAATGTGATTATTATTGAACAATTTAAATCAGTAATGGCCAACCTATGTGCTGCTTAAAAAATCAGGAAATCTCAAGAACCAGATGGCGTACCATCAAAGTGTGCAGCAGAGCTCGAAGTCAATAGGGTTCGAGTCAACTCGAGTCGACTTCGAGCTCTGCTGTGCAGTCCCACCAAAAAGGTTGGCAACCGCTGACCAAAATAAAATGTTTCTTTCAAATTCAAAAAAAATTGTCTTTCAAATTTATCAAAAATTGATCACATCGTGATTTATTACTGCCACTTCTTAACTCTTTACATATCTACGCAGCTGATGCTCCTCAATTTGATATTTTCCAGAAACAAAACTTTTCCAAAACGGACACAATAACTTCATCTCCCTTTAAAACTGTCAATAATAAAATATATATTTTATTCATTTAAATAAGAAAACTTTTCACGTGATGAATGAATTTATAAAACACCATTTTTCAATTCAACTCGATTTAATCGAACAGAAATCGGAAGGAAGAGAAATTTCCGCAGATGTTGTTGATGTTTGAGGTTTTTATTGTGGATAAATTTTTTTTTTTCTCTTCTCTCTTCAACTTTATTTGAATGAGGGAAAAATATTGTTTCCCGTTGAATAAAAAAAATATTAATTCATTCAATTCTAGAAGCAGTTTTGTATGGATTGAACAGGATTGAAGACTAAGTTGAGTTGATTTAAATTTTAATTAAAGTTTTCCATAGTCAATTTGGAAAGGTTGATTGTTAAATCAGCGAGCGCTAATCAAACCCCCCCCCCCCCCCCATCCCAAAATTTCATTACCGTCTATAGCGTAGCTAAGGATTGTGGCTTGAAATTTAGTATAATATTATTTAAAATGAGTCCTGTTTGTCATCTCTTGTCTACGCAAGTGAAAGCTTTATTTCAATATAAATGAAATATTCCAGCAAATGTTGATCATCGATAATTCCTTTTTAATGAACTATTATTGGATGTAGAAAAATAATTTCTCAATTTTTCTTCAACATTTTCCCAGATTTTTCTATTAAAAGCAATTACTTATGAAAATTACGATTCGATTTGAAATCAATTTATAGCTGATGACTGCTGATGTTGAGTTGCATTGATTTTAAACGCATTGAACTTTATATAATTCACTATCTGAACTATTTTTAATTAAAATATAATAATAGGTATTTAAATTGAATGGAAGCGATTACAATTATTGGTAATTTGGAATGGATTTTAATCAGAAAATTAAAATTATAATTCGAAAGTTGATCGCGCAATTTGACGCTGAATTATTATTATTATTATTATTATTATTATTATTTATTTCTTCATTTTATCTTTTTTAAGGAAAAGCCATTTGAAATGTATTTGCACAGTTTCATCCGGCATAAAAACCTTAATCAACTTATTATTACATATATTGTTTAAGATTCAATGATATAGGAATATCGTTAAAGAACTTAAAACTAACGAGATATATTTAGGGTGACCATCTGCGTAGTTTTTCAACGGACAGTCCCGTATTTTTCAAGACTGTCCTGTATAAATTTTTAAATTTTGTTCTTGGTCCTGTATTTTTTTCATGAAAATTTCCGTTAATTTTCAAATTTTACTCTATGTCCTGTTTTTTTCGAAAAAATTTACCAAATGTCCTGTATTTTCATGAAAATTAGATGGTAACCCTAGATATATTCATTTAAAACATTAACGGTTAAAACAAATTTAACTTATAGAGATTTTGTCGTATTAGACTTTTGGTGTGTGTCTTGGAAATATCAACATCTTAAAACCGGAGCTTTTAAACACATGTATTCAAGAATAGGTATGGAAAAACCAATTGCAGGACAATTAGTAATTTTTTTTTTGCTAATACTTTCTTTTATGCAATTTTAGCTATCAGTATCACCCAAAAAACTTTAAGTAGCTGTTATTAAAG